AAAAGCAATATGCAGATGTGCTGAAGAAAGCACGATAGACCATTAATCATATTTTTAAAAGATTACTGAAAAAAAAATATATATTTCTTAATATCTGTCTTAAAATCATTTACCCGTTCTTTTTTACGCTCAGCGTCGTCTTTTACTACTACACTGCCTGGCGTTGCCGCTTCCACTGTGCAGTTCACTACTTTATCAGGGGGTAATAATGACTAAATTTAACACGAATTAATATATTGGGTGCATGTCGATAAAAACACGTGCCGAACTTAGATTATATTTTCTCAAAAGCCTTTTTCTGTAAGACAACGAAAATTTCACAGTGTGCTACTTCATGGTATCGTCTCTACACACATAAGTTTAGATTTAATGGCTACTATAGAAGTTATTTGGCATTTTAAACAGAAGTACAATCGTCAGAATACCCGTTGGCGAAATTACACAATAACTCAAGTTTGTAGCTTCCTGGTAGGTGATGACCTCTACCAGACTGCAGAAGACTAAATATCTTGTTAAAAGTTACTTTCAAAGTCAGATTAGGCCATCATGCCCTATCATTAATATCGCATAAGAAAATTTTGAACAGGTTGTGCCTTAATCCATTGAAATTGCCTGTATTGCAGCATTGGGGCTTGACCTGCCGGGAAAGTGTTCGGTGGAGTGAGTCCAACGTCTGTGTAGATAAATTTCTGGTAGAGGTCATAACATGAATCATTACAAAAAGGAGCAATATTCAGATGTGGTGAAAAAGCAAGATCGGCCACTAATCATCTTTTTATAAAAGATTACTGAAAAATATTCTTACTAGCTTAACATTTTTGGACTGTTGGTTTTAAATTGACAATAATAGGGACGATACATAAGCTACTGTGTCAAATCATGTACTACATGTGGCAAATACAATAATGAAGTAGTGTAATATGAAATTGCGTTGAATTACCGTGGGTTATTGTTGAGTTATCACAGCCTTAAGTTCGGGACGTTTTTTTCCGCTATTCGCCTGCATGCTATTTGCTTGTTATATACTGATAGGCAATAAGTAATGTAGCACAACACAACGCACCCGATAAAAGAATAAAGATACCAGACAAGAAGTTTTTTTCCAGATAATGAAAATGGATTGGAACCAACTGTGTTATCACAGGTGGTTCAGAGATTGCTCTTGAACAGGCCCCCACCCCCATGCCCGCCTCCACGTTTTCCGCAAACAGAATTATTCACTTATTCTTCCATAAAAAGAATAATAGATAATCTATAATACCCACGTCTTAAATTTATTTGTTAAGATATTGATGAGGAGGTGAGGGGACAGTGAGAGGAGGTGAAATGTGTTACAGTCACTCCCTCTTTCGTTTCGGTATTGTGGATCAAGCTGTGCGGAGTGGTATAACATCTTGGTAAAATGTGCTTAGTCGGGAGTCCTACGGCTGGTATTAAATGCTTCGAGGTTAAATTGCTAGACCCCTGCAAGGATGGCGCGTGTAGAGGCGGGGAGACCATCAGCGGATTAGTCGGCTCTTCTTTCAAGTAGGATCCGCCATATCTGATCCGTGGATCAGAAGATCCTCGGATCTTCTATTCTGTATAGCCTATAATTAAGTAATGGGTTTAAGTTCCCCTGCCGCAGTTTTTACTTTCTGTCCTTGTAAGGATTATTGTAAGGTTAAAGGGATAACAACTCTTCGTATGAGATTCATATTTCACATGGAATCCATGGAAATATAATAAATTCTATTTTACCACCAAAACGGCGTTTGTCGCAATTATTGTGGAATCTGTGCCTGCGTCGGACCATGTGACCGCCATAAATGGCTATCCTCTGTAATAATCTCTTATAAGATTATTACAAAAACCAGACTTTTTAGGGAAAAAAAAGAAAAGAAAAGAAAACAACAGGGACTAACTTCGTATGTCGAAATGGATTCATGAACAATCGGTAAGTATGGGGAAATTGTCGTTTACCCCAGGAAAATCCATTTTTTTGGCCAAAATGAACAGTTGTTATCCCTTTAATTTACGATATCATTGATATCATGAACATTTTTATTAATCCATCTATGGTGCATGAAATGCAGATTTTAAAATGGTTGCTTACATTTTTTTGCTTATATATATATATATATACTTTAACAATGTCGGTAACAAGTCTTTTATGTTACATGTATGTGTATGTATCGGAAATTACGCAACCCATAACTTTTACATACCAAAAGCTTATATTGCAAATTGTTTGTTTCATTGTTGTGGAGTATCTAAATTTTAGAGGTCACGAATCTTCGAAACTTAAACATCTCTCTTTTGTTCTTCAACATTAAGTCGCCCGCCAGTTGGTCGGGACAGACGGCAAAAAGTAAACCGTGGGGTTTGTCCTTACTTTACCAACATGAGGCTGATCTGTTTGGTATGAACTGAAAACGGTTAGCAACTCGTTCAGTGTGAAAGGGTGATATTATTGATTTTAATTTTTCCAAGAAACAAGGATATGAAACAGACAGAATCTTGAGTGTTTTGTTTGTTTTGTTTTCATTTTTATCATCATGCTTCCTGATTATTTTATATCAGCATGTTTGTTATGATATTGGCTTCATTTTTTAATCTTTTTTTTTCTGACGAAACTGTTTAGTTTAATAATATGCTGCATGCCGTTTGGATTAAAGCTTGTACCGGCACCTTTACAGCAACAAATTTGACAGATTTTTGACAAAAGGGAGAAAACCATTTTTATAGTATTGAGATTTATAAATACCCGATAACATATGTTGTGTCTGTTTAATTTTAGTTTTTTTAAGTCGTGTGTTATCTAATAGCAACGATAAATACCAAAACCGTTAAAATAACTAATAATATCACTGAGGAAAAAGCAGATAGTCATTTTAAAATGCTTTTTTGCCATTCTTTGATATTTAAATGCACATGATCATTACTTTGTGTTACAGCTCTTGGAAATGGAGAAGCATCCAATGGAAATGGCACCGCTTTAGGTAAATACCAACTTTGTTATAATACCTTATGTATAGTTCTCTTCACCCTTTCTCTGAACATCTAAATGGAGATTTGTTACTTTCTGTATAAAACCGTTGTTTCGTTTTCCACACATATTTTTCTTGTGAAGTGTTTCAAAGAAGAAATTATCAGTTAAACTTTATTTTAAGAAATAGTTTTGCTAGTCTGCTACTGCCACACGTATAAATTTCATCTCCTTGGTTAAACATATATACTAATACACTTGAAATGGGTATGACTAAGCATGGATGGAGGGGGACTTAATTAAAATCAGTAGCCACGTTAACCTATACAATTTATTGTAACGTTTCAATTCCTTTTTATCCATCATGTTCAAACCCGTTCATATATCATTTACAGTCTGTTGGTAAGATATTTATTATTCATCCTAACGTTTCATTTATGCCTGTAGAGTTACTGTTACTAAAGAAGTTTATGAACGATTGGCTACAAAAGTTTAATCGTTATGTAATGTTTGCTGTATGAGTATAACGTATTTTTGTATGACATATTTTTCGGCGCGCATTTGTCGTGTTACTGTCAATTGCTGTCGGCCTCTGCTGGAGGCTGCTAGTGCATGCATTGTAAAGCTTAGAGCGTTAATAGAATCCGCACTGCTGAGACTTTATTTTGTGCATTGGAACTTTGTCAATACCGGCTTACAGAATCTTTGAGACTATGCTGTATAGATCATATTAAGTCGTGTTAGATTATTTCTGGTGTTAAAAAGTTAAAAAGCTTGGGATTGTGATTTTTTTCTTTTTTGGTTTTATAAAAGATTTAAATAAATGGGCCTAGAAATGATTTTCCATTTACTGCATCTAGCCTACATTTGCTAAGTGCAGGAAATTTGATAATTTGAAATTCTACGCTATTAAAGAAAGCGGAGCATTTCGTCCAGCTGGTTATTTTTCTTTCATTTTGTAACTTTGTTAACATAATAAAAAGTTTTTTTTTGCAATTTTCATCTGTCTAATGCTTCATATTTCTATATTCCAGTTATTGTGATCAGCTTGCTAGTCGTGGTTTTGATTGTGATAGCAATCGTGGTGGCTGTGTGCCTGTCAGTCAGGTAATAAAACGGAAAAGCTTTCCTTTTTTCGTTGCTTTTACTTATTTTAAGAAATCGTTTTACTAGTCTGCTATTGTCGCACGTATACATTTTATTTCATAATGGTTTTGAAAACGCGTGTTTAGGCGAAAGTCTCTGTTCGGCTTAATTCTTTTAAATTTTTCTCACATCTAGGGCCAAACGACGTGAATCTATTAAAGAATCTCGCATTATAGCGGACCGTCTTCAAGTCAATGCCTTATACAGCAAAGAATTACAAGAGACCCCTGTCGGTGACAGTAACAATGGGAGTATTAATGACATTAACAGAGAGCATAATGCACAAACCGACGAAAAAAATGACGACCAAACGGCAGCCGAGGCGCAGCTACTTCTGGGAGAAAACGATGATAGAAAAGAGGGGAGCAAGATGTATGAAGAAATTGGTAATCCTGGCACAGCTGAGAATGGGGACATTGTGCCAGTTGATGGCGAGGATGCCGAAAAGCCTGTTTATGCTGTGGTACATAAAGATAAAGGAGACAAGTGGAAAACAGCTGAGGTGCCAGATGATGTTGAAATGAAGGATAACGAACTGTACGGCACCGATGAAAGAGTGTAGTGACCGACTGTTAGAATGGTAGTGGTGGTTGTAGCATCCAAAGTGCCTTAAACAAATTTTTACATTGCAAGATCTACCAGGAATCATTAACCAAGCGAATTGTTTGAGGAAATGCACATTTTATTCATTCAAGAAAGCAGCGTGCTGTGCACATTCGATATTCCAATCATTCTTGTGATGGACTTATTATACAAAAAGTGATCCTACACAGAAACGCTACACAAATGAAAATGCATTTTTAAAGGTTTCTAGCATCATTTTAGTTCTCTTCCAAACAACTGTATATTGATTGAAAAAATAAAGAAACTTAGGTTATGTTTCTAGTGAACTCAAATCTTTTCTCTCGACTAGAACTACATTGAACTTTTTCAAAGTTAAGGATACAATTAACAGAACATTTATTGTCTTAGACTTTTTTAACTGAAAGAGTAATTATCATTTAATCATTTCCATTTCCATTTTTTTCTAGCCCTATACTATGGTTAGAAGAACATGGAGGCGATAAATATTTAAAAGATTTCACAATTTACTGATTATTGAAAATCATGAAAGGGATTCGTCTTACATGTTGGAAGCACACAAAGTTTGATTCATGTTGTTACCGAAAAGACAGAGTGCACGTTTGAAAAACTTTTCGTGTTTAAGCTGTTGTCGTCTGAAACCAAATGAAAAATTTTAATGGCATGATCTTCAATGGCTTTTTCAGACTGGTTAAAAAACAGTCAATGTGTTGAAGCAAGCGCTTCCCTAGTGTACTGCCACTGGAAATAATGTTAGGCAGGGTTTTCCTGTGATAAGAAAGTCTGCAGAAGGCGTATCCTGTTTAGAAACAGTTTTAATTGGAATGTAGATTAATTAGACAGAAAAGTTGTTTTTAACTTTACGTGCGTGGGGTGTCACTTGACTCTAGTTTTTAGGACATACTTTTTATCTCATCATAGATTATCTTTAACACTCACAAGATTCTCATACATTTGACGTACCATGTAAAATAAAATATCGGTAATAACGAAAATTATGAACCATTTTTTTCTGCATCTAAACCGAACTTGTTTTTAATACTTCTCGAAATATTTGCCACAGTACAACGAACCCAAAATACGAAGCCGGCCACCCCGGCCGTAATCAGCCCGGTCCAGAAAAACATGTATTAACTGGGCTTGTTACATGTATATAGGGGCGGAACACAGTAGAACAAAGCGTCAGAGATTTCATTTACTTTTTAATTGGACAAACAGTCTTGATTGTCTGCGTAATCATGAATGTATGGGGGAATGTACTGGTGATTTTATACTTCGAATCTCTATACGGATTCGTCGAGAGTGCAATTGACTACGACGAGAGAGGTTAGTAACCATTTTCCGTTTTTGTTATTCTCGATGCTTCAGAATAATGATGTGAAAATGGAATGTCCCACGCAACGCTGAAATGAATGTTTTGTATTGCCAATTTTATCAAGCAAATGGTAATCCCCAAGTCTACAGTGTACTGTGATGGAAAATTATGTGATAAATATAGATCTTTCCGTGTTTTATCCAGAACTGATGCCAAAGCAAAGCAATAGATTGAGAAAAGATATATATTTGGACGGCCTTGCTTATTTAGATAGGTCTGTTTCGTTGAGAGAGAAAAAAGTCTCAAACATACTCACAAAGACACCAGACACCGAATTTCCATCAAAAGTAATCTTTTGTAAACATGGCATAAGAATCGTAGAGGACTTTTCAAATAACTGCGAATCAAATATCAAATACTTTTCGTTAGAAATATCAAAACTCTTTTCCTTCCGGCAAATGCATCGATTATATATATAAATTCCCATTATGTAAGTTTTATAATTTAAGAGATGTGTAAGAATAAAATATCCTGGGACACGAGTCAAATTTTCTCACAATTTGATAGCACCTCCCAAACCAACATTATTTCTTCTTAAGAAGTAGTTGAGTTTACAATTAGGCCCTATAGGCAAAACTTGGTTTTCTGCCAATTTTTGGAAATTGGGGAACGAGAAAATTTTTTAAAAAATTAAAATTCGTAGCCTTCTTTCTAAAAGACAAAATCAACTACATGAATTTTAACAATTGATCAGAATAGGCCAACATTATTAAATAATCGAAGCTGCACAGGTTGATATTTGACGATACTTGATGGAGAATCTAGCTCCTGTAGTGCCCCCTTTTTTCTTCCAAGTTCTATTATATTTGTCTCCATATATTTGTCTATCCATAGCAAGTGTAAAATGTATGGGTACTAGTATTAAATGAGAGCACTTTAGTCTTAAAAACTTTAAAGAAATTCAGGTCCGTTGGTAGATGGGATTTCGAGATATTCGAACGAATCACCCTTTGGATGGAAAAGGCTCGATTTATATCAAAATTTGATCTAAGAAATATGCTATTTCTCAGGTTTGGTCGAAAATAGGGTAAAAAGAAAAAGACAACCCTCGTTTAAAATTGCAGCTGGCGAAGGGCCTGTGACATTCACTAATATCATTATTATCTATATTTCTTTTCACCTACAACTGATATTCAAAATATTGTAACAAATTGTCTTCCCCTTAAACATGGTGGCGTCGTGCTGCTGTGAAGAAAGTTTCTATGTTCAAATACATTTGGTGTCGTTGTGGGTTATAATTTGCATTTTCATAAAGCTTGGTATGAACCTTCTAAAACAAAGTTTGACCTAGTATTAGCTTTTGAAGCCCAGGGTTTTCTCGTTTTTTTCTCAAAATTCTAAAAAATAACCTTCACGAAGCCTGATAAAGATTTAAGTTTCCCAGGGGGTAAACCAATGTCATTTTACATGAATGATCTCTTTCTTTGATCTCTTTAGCTATACACAACAGACGGCATCAAACTGACTAATTAGATTGTTGAATACTTCTTGTATGTTTACAGACGAATTATCAGTTTAACACGGCTTCTAATTGAATGCTACAAAACTAGTCCTGGATCTAAAATGAACCTCCCCAAAAACTATAGACTAAATCCCTCAGACATGAATCCAACCATAAACTTTATATGTATCTTGCTGGTTCACGATTTCAGAAGCATGCTCTCGAGGCGGCTTTGTTCGGTTAGAAGACTCCTTCCAAGGTACAATCAAAAGCCCCTCTTTCCCGACCCAGCTCAGACAAGGCGATTCGCGCACAATCGAATGCACGTGGCTAATCCCTTTGTTGCCAGGGCAACGACTCAGCATTACCTTTGACTATTACAGTCTTCAGTCTACATTTAACTGTGCAATGAGTCATTTATATATCCTGGTCAAAGAAGGATACAGGCAGTTCCAGCTCCTTAATGTGTGTCACGAAAATGTCGTGAAGTCTGGAAAACGGTTAGAGTACCGAGGCAAGACACCTCTGCCATCCACCATTTTGGTAATTTTTCGCACACAAAGAAACGTAACATCCCGTGAGAAGTTCGGATTTTCATTTCAATATAAAAGTAAGTGCTTTTTAATATTCTATATGTGCACTTGCCTAATAGCATTGAGAAATCCCTTGGAGACACAATATCTAATCAATGATTTTTTCCTTTTTTATTTTTTTGAAAAATTAAAATAATTCTTATCCTATGAAGTGGTAATATACCATGAAGTATCTTAACATACGTATGCTGTAGGCCTAAAAGCAATGTCATCATGCAAGCATGTTCTTTTTCGCATAACAAATTAATTACTACATTGTAACACTTCGTTTATCTGATAACCGTACATCATAATGGTAAAATGATATACTATTTTCCCTAAATTTCTTGCAGTATTCGTACCCTGCACACCACTGCTATCTCCAACAAATGGACGACTTAGTGTACACAATTCTACTGCAACACTGGTCTGTGATGACGGCTATGTTTTGAAGCAAGGGGAAGGAAATACAACAATTCAGACAATAACATGCCAACACACAGGCCTTTGGAGCGAGGCATTAGACGAATGCATCAGAAGCACCGGTACGTATCAGTATCCAATTGAACCCAAATCTAGTAGTTTAATGGATTAAAAAAGAAAATATTAATGTCAACGATGATTTTAATGTGTATTATACAATGGATCATGTTAATTCTATAGGGAAATCTGGACATTCCTTAGGACATAGCTCTATAACACCCAGTGTATACCGGAGCGTCTCGACGGCCCCTGTGAGTAGTATTGCCAATGCATCAACAACTAGATCTCCAGATGTATCACATTCTTCAACTGGTCATTCCTCTGCCACACTGCCCAATGTAACAGTGTCAGCCTTCACTGTTGTTGCCGGGGATAATGATTCCAATACGACAACTACAACTGTGGTGATTCAGTCCAAACAGCCAGCGACATCAACAGCCACAGCACGCACAACTGGAAGAGATACAGGTACAATAGCAACTGCTGTTTCATTTCGTTTAGCTTCTGTCAAAGTTTTGGTCTTTTTTGCATATTTTGAGATAGGTAACTTGCTTTTTGGTAAGCCTTTCCTGCCAGTAAAGTTAATTATCAAGGCTGCATGATGAAATGATTGTGACTGTTTCCTTTGTGTCGCGATATATATATATATATAGAAAAACGACCAATGGCATACTTGAAAATTTAACGTCCCATCTGGAATGCATGATTTTGTGCGATAAAATATTAATTCATATTTGACAATTTAAAAAAAACTGAAAAATAAAAAATAAAAATTCAGATGAAGTGGGATCACAGAGGGCCTCTTAATTCCCTTTCCTAAGGCAGCTTACCAAACGTAAGATATATCTGATCAAATTAACTACACTGATGTTCATTTCTTTTCAGTCGTTGTGCTGGTCGTAGTAGTAGCCGTACTGGTGAGCATTTTAGTTACAGTGGCGACCGCTTACAAGCTGTCTAAAAGGTTGGTAGTATCCTAGCTTATGAATGAATTAACAACAGAAAAGACATATAGCTACTTAGGAATATGTGCTGTCTTTTAAAAAGAGCTACGAGGTAACTACAGACCGAAAATACTCGATATATAGTGTTTCTTCAGAAGTTGTCTAAATTAATTTATTTTAATTCGATTCACCAAAGTTGCGCTAAATTATCTGCAAATGATTGCATATATGGCTTAAATCCACTTCGTTTATATACAGTGTCTTTGTGCAGCCGCAATTAGGTAAAGCAAATGCATTCTTTATTTTACCTCGTAGGTTTTCCAAACGATGCTTCTCGCACAGGCAGGAAGGAAACGCAAGGGAAATGACAGGGTATTCAAATTTTTCAAACATTGACGTAATTCAAGAATGCGGAGGATCCCCCTGCGATACAAAAGACAAAGTTATCACTGAGAACTCCACATTGCCGAACACGTATACGATAGAGTCACGTTCAGAATAACTCGATTTGTTATCTACTACGTAAAATCTGCATCGTACATCAAGGTTGTCAGACCCAGTTCTTAACTAACAAATGTTTTGATTGGGAGGCGACTGCAATCAGTCGATGCACACCATTTTAATGTGAAAACATATCATCAACAATCATATGCAAATTAATCTATGTCACATGATGATCACTCTTAGCCAAACGGATCCATTAACAATAATAATAATAAAAAAAAATAAAAAAAAAAAACCTTGGTGCTTTCACGTACAAACGGAGAGGCAGACTCGTGTTACATGTATAAGCCCGATAAGCTGCGGTATGCAACACCACTGGGACTATGTCGGTCTCTGGAGAGGTGTATGAGCCCATATGAGACCAATCTAGGGGCGGATTTAGGCCGTCTTCTGGGTCTTCCAGAAGACGGTCAGATTTTCAAGTATACATTAAAAGATATCTTAGTTTTTTCTGTTGGAAGACGGTCAAAATTGGAGGATAGATCAATAAAGATAATTTGGAAGACTGTAAGAAAATAGCTCTGGGTCCGCCCCTGCAATCGGTGACCAATTTGGACTGACTGGGTCACAGTTTAGTTTGGCTACGGATTCTACACTGTTCATAATGTGGATGATAGTACATTGTATTGCTTGGCTAACTGAGCTTGCACGTAGGCCCTATGTAGTATTTGAGGTCACATTTGGCTTCACATGCGGAATCCATGGTTAAGACTAAGCACATATTTAAATGTCCATGTATATGGTTCCCGGGTTGATTGTTTTATAGTATAAAATGTACGGTTATACTCAATGGTATGGTATGCAGATAATATTTTTTGTGCGGAAAGTGATTTCCACGGGACATGAAATAAAGTGCCAACGATGCGTTTAACATGTTTGAGACAGGTTTTGCATTTTGATCTTTTCAAACATTCACAAGCAAGCGGTTAACAGTTTTGGTATGTACCAGTAGAAAAAATGCTGTAGATGTGAAAAGAGCAATGCGCTATGGTAAAAATGTATTTGTGACTTGGAGCACGGATATTTGTGAAGACAGCTTTTAACACATTGTCTGGTTTTTCTATGAAATTGTTCTTAGTTCCAAGATCTTGAATTAAGTAAAGTTTTTGATGATGGGAATCACTTACTTTGGAGCAATTGAAACGGCTATACGTTTTACTCTTATCACAAGGGCACCTTCAGGCTGAATGTCATGAGGTGGTTGGGTGTTGGTTGACCCGTGACCAAACCTGGTTATAGATGGGATGGGGGGGGGGGGGGGTAGACAGTTCGTTTCCCTGGTCCCAATTCATGGTTGACAGATGTACATTACTTCCTTGACCTTCCCCAGGTCAATCGCTGGTCTCTCTCTCTCTAGAGAGTATCGCTCACAGGTCAACTACCACACGATGACCTATGGACATTCGGCCTGAAGACATGCGTGTGGTAGGCATATGATAGCTGTTTCAATTTTTTGTTCAAAAGTAAGTGATTCTCATCACCGAAATCTTGATACTAAACATTGTCACAGAATGAAAGTATTTGATATAACGTAGCTTACTTTGGTTATATTGTGCCATATTAATATTAGACGCTGGAAGCTGGTGGCTTAATATATCGTCACAATATATAAGTTGTAAGGAAGGCCCTGTATAGCAAATAGCGTGTAGCATAGCGGACGGACCTGCTTAAAAATCGGTAATCGCTGCTTGTCAGGCCTGTAGCCAGCAGTTTCAAAAGAGGGGCTCTTTTCCTGACCCCCCCCCTTCTACAGTTCAATTAACCCAATGTGAGTTATGGCATTTTATTATATACAACTATATATCCGGGACCAATAACATGAAGTCAATACCGCCTTTGAGTAATTCAATATCAATTCATCCAGCGAGGGTACCCTCCGTCAAGAAACTTGCTGATTTTCACATATTTTGTAGATATTATTGGGACTACAGAAAACATAAAGCTTTAGATTGATACTTCATCTGGTCTCAGAATTATGGCACTCCAAATTTGGGCCCAGCTGAGGGCTTGCTGTGCCTCATATAAATCTACTAGTAGGCCAGAGTGACCTAGTTAAGAAAAGCACAGAAACAATAGTTCTAAATATCCAATTCCTTTGTAACTTTCATGACTTCATATTTTAGAATTTCAGGAATCCAACTACCACATTGAAAATGGTCTGGCTTATTTAAAATGCTTTATATGTTTTTACTTTGAAAAATCCTTGTCCTATTTTCAAAATGAAGGAGACCCCACCCTTAGGGCCTATTTCTAATTTTTCTCAATGTCTCTAAATGGACAGGTATTTTTGCTTTATCTCCTTTAAAAGAGGAGGCTTTGAACTTATAAGTGAAGTGTTAAATCAATTTGTACATTTTGGAGACAAAACTAATAATGCACTATAAAAATATGTGATATGGGCTATTGCATGATAACTAATGTACAACAATGTACTATCAAACACCCAAATGTAGAAAATTTTAGATTAGTTTTTCTAGTATGTTTTAGAATAAATTTCCTATAATTTTGTAATTGGAATATTGGAAGATATTATTTTTGATATGATATGAATGAAACTATCCTATACAGTTATTCTTTAATTATTATACATTCCCTACATAAAGCACAAAAAAAACACTTGTTTACTCATAAGGAAATTACACGTGCACTCAATGGCTCGCTATTTTTTTTACTTATTTGATTTTACTTCCCTTATTGCTTGCAATTAGTGAGGCTATCTGCCATAAAATTTACAACACTATTATCATTAGGGTATGGCTATCAAATGAAGCATTAGATTCCGGTATTTATGTTGCTTCAGTGACTCTTATATATGATCTTAATGTCAACATTAAGCAGGTCACGTCACCCTCTTACTATATTGGAGGCAATTCCAAATCCTGTTCAAAAGCCCAAACTTACGCTCCATATTAACATGCACAGCACAAGACAGCATCGGCATCAATACCAAGTTACAAATGGCACATCTATTTGTTTATCTGCTTATTCACTAGTTAATTACTTTAGTCATCACGTCATTCATTCGTTTATCTGTTCATTTACTCGCTTAAATTTAAATGCTTTAACAGCATTGTTTCAACATGAAAAAATTTATTCTCTCAATTCCCAACATACAAGGTATTCATATGAAACGTATAAATGTAGAACATACGTATTTGCCTTGGGTAGACATCTCAAGTTCTTGTTCTATGTTAACCATATTATGAATAACAGAATCATTTGAAAGTCCGCACTATAAATGCATGCTGCACGTAGACTGGAATGACGTCCGAATGACGGTTGGGGTTTCCGTAAGGTCCATTTTAATAGAGCTTAGCTGAAATTATCGTAGTTGGATGAATGCAAACGAGCCTAAGAGGACGAATAAGCGACTGAAGAGACAAACTGATGGGCATGATGCAGTTGATTCTTTTTCTTGTAACAACAACAACAGGTAGGCCTAAGTTATTTGTATTGACATTTGGCAATGCGTGTTACATATAGATTGACAGCCAAACACAATATAAAGGTTTTTGCAATACAAATATAATGACTGAAAAACAAGGTGTATTTTATTGGTTTTCATTAAATTCTGCAAAATACGAGAAAATGAAGTCTTAAAACATGAAGAAGGTCCCATCATGAATTTTACTAATGATAAAAGATGAAAAGAGGAATTTTAGAGCTGATTTTAGTGTTCTGTATTGGATCGAAATTACTGTTCCTGCGTCTTTATGGTACCAGCACAAAATAAAATAAATTTATTCTACAATGTTCCCACGCATATAAGCATGGCTATGCATTTATACACAGTTTCAGTTATCCATTATTGGATCAAACTTTAACTAGCTGCACTATTTTTATCGTCATTTTAGTTTCATGGATATTGGTAAGTGGTTCCAGCGCCACTAGTGAAGAGAGCACCATTGATGCCGTCATGTCTGAAGTTCTATCTTGCCTCAGAATCCCAGGGTTGTCAGTAACCCTGGTGAAAAATGGACGTGTTATTTTGGCAAAAGGGTATGGAACGAAGGACAAGAACGGCCAGGAACCCGTTACAAGCTCCACATTTTTCAGCATCGGGTCGTTGACGAAAGCATTTTCAGCTACTTTGCTCTCCAAAATATTGTATGAAAAGGGGTAAGGGTACTCAGTTTCTAGCTTGTCATCGTGTTTTAGTTCAAACTTATATTTAAAACACTTTATACTGCCGTGTCCTTGTACGTCTCGATAGTCTTCAATTACAAAACGAATACCATACGCTTTAACGTAAGCAGGTCTCATGGTTAAATGTTAAAGGGTGAAAGGAACGATATATGGACACGTTTTATGATACACCTTTATTTTCAATCACATTTACATGTATAGAATTTTTTCCAATTTCTCATATTCAAAATTTAAAAAAAAATCGTGGAAAATTGATCACACACACACACACACACACACACACTCTAATGTTGTAAGATGTGAAAAAACTATACTGTAAAAAATACATGAGTAATTCTGTTATTTGCGATTAACCGTGATCAATCGACATCTAAACTCGTATTCATCTTTGTTTGCATTTAAACGGAAGTTCAGCTACGAGGTGAATTGTTAATGACCACCTTTATTCCCTTTCTAAATTACTTGCCATTTTTTATAGACCTTATGTTCGGCTGCGTATGCCATGAAAGCATTTAATGACCTTTTTTCCGGAAAGTGACTTTTTATGTCATTTAACCGTAATTGTGAAGAGCTATAGCAACATATTGCTATTTTTACCTATGAAAATAACTCCTTATTTTATCGAAATATATAAATCGATAAGTTATGAGTTATGTTTATACGTCGATAGAAACACATTTTTTGGATGAGATTTTAATTTTTATAAATGTACAGAAAAACTGATCACGAAAGTAAATTTCTGTATATATGTTGATGCAGGCACGATCTAGAAACTCCATTGACAACAATTAGAGAGTTGAATGATTTGCGATTTTCTACTGAAGAATTAACGGCACATGTCACAGCCCGAGACCTCTTCAGTCACCGGACCGGTATTCCCAGCTACGACAAAGCCAGACTGGGAGGACAGATAACGTTAGATAACATTGCTCAGTAAGCTGTATCCTTTCGTGTAGTTATAAACTGGATACAATTGTTTAAGCCTTTACATATTATA